TCTGGTTGAATTGGGGTTTAGTCCTCGTGTCTTGATACAGCCCCGACTTTGTTCTGCCTTGCTGCTTAATTAAAAAACTAGTTTAAGGTGTCCTGCACATGTGATATATTTTTTTCCTATATGAAGTCATTCTTTTTTGAACAAAACTCAAAACCGAGCCTATTAATCTTTCAGTCTTTCAGTCATTTCTAAAATAATAATCCCACATGCATACTACCCTTTAAGGCTAAGCCCCGGGTGTTTCAAATGTCTGGCTCCGCCTCTGTTCTCCAGTGCTTTCAACACCATCCAGCCACGACTTCTGAGGAACAAGCTGGAGCTATCGGGAGTGGACCAACACATGTCCCAGTGGAGACTGGACTACCTCACAGAACGCCCACAGTATGTAAGGACACAGGGCTGTGTCTCTGATATGCTGGTCTGCAGTACGGGGGCCCCACAGGGAACTTTGCTGGCACCGTTCCTCTTCACCTTCTACACTGCAGACTTCTCCATCAACTCCCCACGCTGCCACCTACAGAAGTTCTCTGACGACTCTGGCATAGTTGGCCTCATCACAGGTGAGGATGACTTAGAGTACAGACAGTGGACTCTGGACTTTGGGGACTGGTGTCAGCAGAACCACCTGCTGATCAACGCTGGGAAAACCAAGGAGTTGGTGGTAGACTTCCAGAGACGCAGACCCACCACACTGACACCTTTGAACATCCAGGGAGTGGACATTGAGATAGTGGGCTCGTGTAGGTACCTGGTTGTTCACCTGAATAATAAACTGGACTGGAGCCACAACACTGATGCTCTGTACAGAAAGGGTCAGACCAGCCTCTACCTGCTGAGGCGGCTGAGGTCATTTGGAGTTCAGGGAGCGCTTTTAAAGACTTTCTATGACTCTGTGGTGGCATCCGTCAATTTTTACAGTGTGGTATGTTGGAGCAGCAGTTTATCGACAGCTGAGAGGAAGAGGTTGGATAAACTCTTTAGGAAGGCCAGCTCTGTTCTGGGGTGCACTCTGGACCCAGTGCAGGTGGTAGGAGACAGAAGGACTCTGGCCAAAATAACATCTCTGACAGACAGAGTCTCCCACCCCATGCATGTAAATGTTGCTGAACTGCAGAGCTCCTTCAGTGACAGACTGCTGCATCCTAGATGCATGAAGGAGCGTTTCTGTAGGTTCTTCCTCCCTGCAGCTGTCAGACTGTACAATCAAAACTGCTTGCAACAAACATAGATGTTTACATCAGTGCTGTAACAACTTCAACTGTTATAATTGCACATTACTTTTCTCAGCTTATACATACACTAACTTATTGGAAGTTACATGTCTACTTTTTAATGCACAGGTACAATACACAATCTGCACTTTTCTAACTTTTCTAATTATTCTAAATATTCTTAACTATTTAAACATCTTTCAGTATCCTGCTCTGTTTGCACACTATCTGTACTCTAATTTTAACAACTGTACTGTACTCTGCTCTGGTAACTTCTGTCTATGATGTAAATATGTAAAAATTGTTTTCTGTTCTGTGTCCTGTTCTTTTTTGTATATGTGTGTTTTTTGCTGCTGATACAACCATATTTCCCCTTGTGGGACAATTAAAGGATTATTCTATTCTATTCTATTCTATTCTATTCTAATGTGTTATTATTACATTTCACTAGATAATTAAAAACCAATTAAAGTATGTTTACAGAATAATCAGATTAATTAAATGAACACTTAAAATGGATTTTAAAAGAGTGCGTTTTGATTTTATTATAATTGATTTTTTAAGAACTGTGTTTTTAGTAAGCAAATATAAAATCTGTCGCAGTTATTCGGTAGAGGCGGTAGAGAGTAGGTTTTCTCGTGGAGTAAATCTCGCGATAAAACTTTAGCATATAACCCGGCGGAACCTTTCACAGGCCTTCTTCCTGTTTTGTCGATCACGTAAGTGTGCTGTTGAGTTTCTCTTCCTAGTTTATATCCTTAAAAATCTCACGCATCGTTCAGTCAGACACTTCAGAGCTGATTATAAGATCATATATGAACATGTTAAATTAAAATCCCAGATCTATTTAACAGCGAATTTGAATACAGATGGAAATATTTGTAGTTTGCTT